TTAACGCATGGGAATGCTAGCCCTGTAAATAAAACGTTGACAATTTGAAAAATTGAGGCTGTTTTGTTATCTACAGTAAATGAGGCTAAAATTAGTTTTTCGGGAACATTTATTTGCTCTCAGAGCTGAATCCAAGACTCAGTATTACATAACCTAGGAAAGTACCAGTCTTCTAATTGTCTCTGGTAGAAAATGACCTTATCAGTAACACAATGTTACTTTTATATAAAAAAAGTAGAGCTACCTTGTTGCTGTGAGATCTCTGGGGAAAAAGAAAAACGTTATCAGTCTAAATGACAAGAGGTCAGAATGCTCTGAGCATATCAGGACTCTTCTAAAAATAATCATAATTTCATTCAATAGTCACATCTCTGTGGTAAACTCAACTGTTGGTAGAAGTTTACTTATCGCCTCTATTTGTATCAAATCACATAACATGTTATTTGCAGGCAATTTTAAGCAGCCATTTGAAGACCAGTATTTTGGAAATGGAAATATTCAGAGGTGCCTCTGGCCCTACAGTCGTTGACATTCTAAACAGAACTAAGTCAGGGAGCTTGTGATTTAGAGCATCATCTTCTTAATTTTCAGTATGAATGAGATCAGTTGGTTGTTCGTGGAGGACCACAGATGTGACAGAAGGCCAAGGAAGCATCAACATCTGCTGTTATTTCTTATGTTGCATTCGCCTGCGTCTTTCACTTTGGTTGCCAGTTTAGTTGGGGTCACTGTGATCCACTTCTCATCTGTCATGTGTGGAATGCATTCCACAAGCTCCACCGTTTGCAGAAAAACAAACCAGACACTGCTTTTCTTCTCACTCAAATTGCAGATGTCTCAGTTCCTGAGTTTTAAACAATAATAAAGACAGAAAAGCAAATCCCTGTAGTAAGAAACCAGACTTTTCAAATGAAATATTTTATTGTAAATAGCTCCTCATGGGTATTCCTCGTGCTTCAATCCCCACCCACCCTTATTTTTTTTTGTTTGATTTTTTAAAATGATGTTTATTTCAGGACTAGTGATTCCATGGGGTGTAGTGTTACATTAAAATGACACCCCCTGCACAGCAGGGGTAGAATGTTTCTTTGTAACTTTGGTTCCATGCCCAAGACACATCTTTGCTTGATCTGCTGAAACTGTTTCCATTGCTGAATTGTTTTCTTCTTGCAATCTATGTTTATAGTTCTTTCCTTCTGGTTTTACCTATACATGTTTCATCAAATGCAGCATATATTGTAGATTTTCAACAGGGTCATGTAGGAACTGTCAAGTAAGAAACCTTGAATAATGGCTTTAAAATACACAGTTGTAGTCCTGGCTACATTATAGTTCTAAGCTTTTGATCTCCCTTTCACTGCTGTAAACATTTCTGCCATCTTTGAAGGTTTAGAAGTATCTGCTTTTCTGCGGTCTTATCCGTGTTTTCGGTTACTCTGTAAAACAGATGGAGAAATTCTTTAATCATCACTTCTGTCAATAGCTGAAACAGAATAAAAGCACAAACTCTATTTTTAAAAGAAAAAACCATCTTTTATTTTTTACCACCTCTTGGAACTGCATGATCTTGTGCATGTTATATAAAGAAAATCTCTAAGCTTAATTTCTTTAATTTAAAATGAGAGAACAGAAGTATCTATTTCAAGGGTTACTGCAACGTAAGGCATGTAAAGCAATTAACAGTTCTTGTCTCATATAAGTGGCCTGAAATATTAGCTATTATCATTATTGCCTTCTTCTCTGGGACCTTCTAAGCCAATGCCTTGAGAAGCTCAATTAAAATATTATTTTCATTTTATTGTATTTTAAAAAATTTTATTGAAGTATAGTTGATTTACAATGTTGTGCTAATTTCTTCTGTACAGCAAAGTGACTCAGATATGTATATACACACACACACATATATATATTCTTTTTTTTTTTTTTTTTTTTTTTTTTTTTGCGGTACGCGGGCCTCTCACTGTCGTGGCCTCTCCCGTTGCGGAGCACAGGCTCCGGACGCGCAGGCTCAGAAGCCATGGCTCACGGGCCCAGCCGCTCCGCGGCATGTGGGATCCTCCCGGACCAGGGCACGAACCCGTGTCCCCTGCATCGTCAGGCGGACTCTCAACCACTGCGCCACCAGGGAAGCCCTATATATTCTTTTTCATATTCTTTTCCATTATGGTTTGTCACAGATATTAAATACTGTTCACTGTGCTATACAGTAGGACCTTGTTGTTTATCCATCCTGTATATAATAGTTTGCCTCTGATAATCCCAAACTCCCATTCATTTCCTCCCCTAAACCCCTCCCCCTTGGCAACCACAAGTCTGTTCTCTATATCTATGAGTCCGTTTTTGTTTCACAGATATGTTTAGATTCCAAGTATAAGTGATACCATTCCAAGTATAAGTGATACCATATGGTATTTGTCTTTCTCTTTCTGACTTACTTTGCTTAGTTTGATAATCTCTAGGTCCATCCATGTTGCTGCAAATGGCATTATTTCATTCTTCTTTGATGGCTGAGTAATATTCCATTGTGTGTGTGTGTGTGTGTGTGTGTGTGTGTGTATATATATATATATATAGATAGATATCTATATCTATCTATCTATATATATATATATATATACACCACATCTTCTTTTTTTTTTTTTTTTTTCTTGCGTTATGCGGGCCTCTCACTGTCGTGGCCTCTCCCATTTGCGGAGCACAGGCTCCGGACGCGCAGGCCCAGCGGCCATGGCTCACGGGCCCAGCCGCTCCGCGGCATGTGGGCTCCTCCTGAAACGGGGCACGAACCCGCGTCTCCTGCATCGGCAGGCGCCTACTCAAGCACTGCGCCACCAGGGAAGCCCTACACCACATCTTCTTTATCCATTCATTTGACAATGGACATTTAGGTTGCTTCCATGTCTTGGCTATTGTAAATAGTGCTGCTATGAACATAGGGATGCATTTATAGTTTTGAATTTGCTGGATCATACAGCAACTCTATTTTTATTCTTTTGAGGAACTTTCATACTGGTTTCCCTAGTGGTTGTACCAATTTAAATTCCCACTAATAGTGTAAGAGGGTTCCCTTTTCTCCACACCCTTTCCAGCATTTGTTATTTGTAGACTTTTTAATGATGGCCATTCTTACTGGTGTGAGGTGACACCTCATTGTAGTTTTGATTTTCATTTCTCTAATAATTAGCGATGATGAGCATCTTTTCATGTGCCTATTGGCCATCTGTATGTCTTCTTTGGAGAAATGTCTATTTAGGTCTTCTGCCCATTTTTTTGATTGGGTCGCTTTGTTTTTTTGTTGTTGAGTTGTATGAGCTGTATGTATATTTTGGAAATTAAGCCCTTGTCAGTAGCATAAGATATTATTTTAAAAGCCGGTCTATCTATGTTTTCCAGTGACTTACTTTTATGTCACATTTCCTCCCCAACAATTGTATTTAATGGCAGATTGTCTCTACCCCAAGGTCCTGACCTGAGGATTCCCTGGGAATTTTGCCACACAGATTTCCTGTTTGGTCCCAGAGTATCTCTGAAAAGATATTTCTCTGGGCTATGCCAGTCAAGTCTCCTAGCCCTGTTCCTCTTTAAGTCCATGTGTCTGGGTTTTCGCTTGGGTAGAAGTTTATGACATAATATGCTATTCCAATGAAAGCCAGAAAATGGCACAGAGGACATGTTACCATGTGCTGCCTAAGGACATGGCCTTTAGAATGTGAATGGCATGGATGGAGAAAATGGGATTTCCACGGAAAAGTCATTTAAATTCTCCAAGGCTTAATTTCCCTGTCTATAAGGTAAAGGTACTAATTCTGTAGCAGGATTTTACTTGCACTCCAGAAATAGTGACCAAGATCCAAAGGAAAAGGGGGCATGTAGTACCTTAAGGATGCTTCCAGTCCACCATACAGAGGCAAATTAGAGATTTGCCAAAGAAATGCCTGCCGTAGGTGCCATAGGTGCAAGTTCGAAATATTCCAAACTTGTATTTGCAGAGCCACTTTGTCTACTTCCAAAGACTAGATTAGACTGAGATGAAAGAGTGACCGAGTCACAGAAGAGAACCAGTGGGAAGGAACTGCAGTGGTTGGGATGAAAGTACACTGTGGGAGGGAGAGGAGGGTGCTAAAAGGCATAGAGATTGGTGGTGCTGGCACAAAGGAGACTTGCATTCTATTGCTCAAACACAGAGCAATGCTCATCTATTTCTCATCCTCCTTTGTCTATCTAGGCAGAGAACGGGAGAGGAATGGCAAGGCGAGACTGGGCAGTAACTTCCTTCCCAACAAGAAGCTGAGGCCAGTACCACCAATGATGAGATCCAGAGTCTCAGTGGAAGGGCTTGGGCCCCAGCCAGGCAGGGGATAGTGCACTGGGCTTCACACATTCTTGTGTGAATTCACACAAGAATTCACACATATGACCCTCCAAATGGCCCCATCACCTCTCATAGAAAATACAACAAGAACTGGTCAGTAATAGCCAGAAAAACAGCTTCAACCACCAGGGAGGGGGCCATAACCACTGCCCGTGGGGTTGAGAGGCATGAATCATTTTCCCTCTTCCTCTTCCCTGCCCTCCAGAAGAGCTGAACCTTGCAGAGGGCAGAGGAAGAGACCTCTTAGAGCCAGCGCGTGCACCTCCTTCACCATGGGGATAAGGGAAGACATGAGATGAAGCAGAGACTGAAGCTGAAGTTTTAAATTAGGCTAGACTTTCAAGAACTGGAAATGACTAAACATAACTGGGGAACCAACCTAAGATTTAATTAAAGGATGAGAGAGGGAAATAAGTGAAAGCCTTGTTTTGATAAAAATAGATTGTAGGGCTTCCCTGGTGGCGCAGTGGTTAAGAATCCACCTGCCAATGCGGGGGACACGGGTTTGAGCCCTGGTCCGGGAAGATCCCACATACCGCGGAGCAACTAAGCCCGTGTGCCACAACTACTGAGCCTGCGCTCTAGAGGGTGCGAGCCACAACTACTGAGCCCGTGTGCTGCCTAGGGCCTGTGTTTCACAACAAAGGGAAGCCACCGTAGTGAGAAGCCCGTGCACCGCAACGAAGAGTAGCCCCCGCTCACCACAACTAGAGAAAGCCCACACGCAGCAACGAAGACCCAAGGCAGCCAAAAATAAATAAATAAATTTATTTTTAAAAACATAGATTGCATTCAGACTTACATCCCACTGAGATGAGAGCCCCAAACAACTCGTTACAGCTATAATATTCCCATAATCCCTGGTACAGAAGAGAACTAATCTGAATGTGTATAAAAGATGCTTTAAGGTGTGTGTGTGTGTCTGTGTGCGCGTGCACGCTCTCTCTATAAATATATATGTATATACATACACACACACACACACAGTGTGTTTTTATACATAAATAAATATGTAACATAAAAGTCTTTTACTTGCAAATTTTCAATTTATATAACCTCAGAGATAAATCCTAAATGCTGTTTCAAAGCACATATGCACCATTTCTCCCCATCACAACTGAAGTAAAGCCCCTCATTTGAGTAAAACCATGTTGGTTTTAAAAAACAAATGGATTTATAGGCAGTCTCCCAGAATGTTAAATTTCTGCAAATTGAGTATCTAGAAAAGGAACTCTGATTTCTACAGCAAAGCCAGGCTTATTCAAACAGGCATATTATGAATAACTGAAGTAGCATCCAATGCGTCACCACAGATGACCCAGTTTCCATGACCTAAAGGTCAGTGTGCTATAACTAAAGCTGTCTAAAATACAAGTTCACCTTTGATTCAGAAGGCCCTTCTGGATGTTACAAAACCTCAGGGATTCTTTCGAATGTATTGCTCTACAGCGCTGAGCTTTAGTTTCCTCCTCTGTAAAACAGTGACTGCAGTCATCCCTTCTGAGAGTTTACGACACGCCACCAGACTCTAAGTTGATGAATACGGTGATGTCATTTCTGACTTCTGACTCTAGTATCCAAGTACCTGCCGCATTGCCCAGTTCACAGAAGAAACCTAGCAAATATGTGCTGAGATCAGTTGATAGGCTACTTATGTTCACTGTTCTTTAGAGTTTTCTAACTGTTAGAAGTTGGTTCAGATCCTTTATGGACCATGTACTTAGAGGCACATTGATTAACAAACTGTAGCTAACTCCTGTTCTCTGGTTATGACAAATAGCCAAAAATCATGAACAGCAATCACACCCTATTCCTGATTTCCATATATGCTTTTCATGGTAAAGGGTACCACAATCTAACCAGTTATACTGTACCATCCGGGACCCTAAGGGCCATTCCCAATACTCCCAATCTATCAACTCTTATATACAACTTATCGTACAGTATTCAATAAATGGTAGCTGTTATTCTTACTTTCATTTTATATATGAGGAAACTGATATGGAGGATTGTTAGATAATTGGTCCATGAGAGTCCTAGTAAAGAAGATAAATAATATTGAAT